TAACCTCAAATTTTAAAATGATGGATTTTCTCTCATTTTCACCTTTGTGCTAGCATATGCAAATCATTGCCTTTTTATGCCCTTCAAATACATCTTAGAAATATGCAAATAAAAAGCTAGCCATTGCATGTGTGTATTAGCAGTTCTATCTGCTCAGTTATTTCAAGATTAAATATAATTTTATGTTGTTTACTTAAACAGTAACTATATAATCATAACCCTTGCATAATAATTTATGAGGATTTACAGCTTTAAAACCATTAACTTATTAATCTTTACAACTTGCTCTGAAGGCTTAACTTGGTAACTCTTAAGCATTTGTGATTTATAGATAGAGAAAACGAAATAGGCAGGTGAGATTCTTTATTTGTAATTGATATTGACTGATCTGGGAAAGAAGCCAGGACTCTGGAGTGTTCATTCTCTAGTCCGGTATCTGGTTATAGAATCTACTGATTCATTATTTTAATTGTAACAATAACATAGCAAATTATCTAACACCCAACGTTCTATCAAATGGAACCACACACATAGAGCTCTAAAATCAATGAGGTTAACAACAGTATTGCAAACGTACCTTAAATTGAGGGTTTTCTGAAGCTAAACTTAATCTGTTAAATTAAAACACTAATGCTAGTGTTATCATTAATTATATTTAACTTTATTATATAACTGTAGAGTTTATAAATTGAGGCTACCTCATAGACTCTCAAATACACCTTTTTATTTGCAGAATACTGATACATAAATCAGAGAAGGCAATGGCAACCCACTCTAGTACTCTTGCCTGGGAAATCCTATGGATGGAGGAGCCTGGTAGGCTGTAGTCTGTGGGGTCCCTAAGGGTGGGACACGACTGAGCGACTTCACTTTCACTTTTCACTTTCATGCATTGGAGAAGGAAATGGCAACCCACTCCAGTGTTCTTGCCTGGAGAATCCCAGGGATGCGGGAGCCTCGTGGGCTGCTGTCTATGGGGTCGCACAGAGTCAGACATGACTGAAGGGACTTAGCAGCAGTAGCAGCAGCAGATATTATTATTTGTAATAAATATTACAAATCCATGTTGAATAAGAGCTACTTGACAGCACTAGAACTTTATTCAATGTGCAACTAATTAATCGTGACATAGTATAAGAGTATAAGATCAAGTCATGGAAGGCTGTTAGATGGGGTAAATCAGAAAATGCCAGACTAGTGGAGTTAGGCTGTGGCATGGGATAAATACTGAGATGTGGCCAACACGTAAGTTAACTCTTGTGTCTGAAAGGTAGATATGTGACTTTCAGTATGGAGCAAAGCAACTGATTCAAAATATAGATTGTAATGAGCTTTTGGAGGAACAGACAAATTGAGGGATAAATATTTAAAATAGGAGAAGCTGACAGAATGTTTCAGGTTTCATAGAGCTAATCATAACAACAAGACAAAATATTTGAACCCCTTACTATGGACGGAGGTTCATGACATTGTACAAGAGACAGGAATCAAGACCATCACCAAGAAAAAGAAATGCAAAAAAGCAAAATGGCTGTCTGAGGAGTACTTACAAATAGCGTGAAAAGAAGAGAAGCAAAAAGCAAAGGAGAAAAGGAAAGATACACTCATTTGAATGCAGAGTTCCAAAGAATAGCAAGGAGAGATAAGAAAGCCTTCTACAGTGATCAATGCAAAGAAGAGGAAAACAATAGAATGGGAAAGGTTAGAGATCTCTTCAAGAAAATTAGAGCTACCAAGGGAACATTTCATGCAAAGAAGGGCTCAAAAAAGGATAGAAATGGTATGGACCTAACAGAAGCAGAAGATGTTAAGAAAAGGTGGCAAGAATACACAGAAGAACTATACAAAAAAGATCTTCATGACCCAGATAATCATGATGGTGTGATCTCTCACACTCACCTAGAAACAGACATCCTGGAATGTGAAGTCAAGTGGGCCTTAGGAAGAATCACTACAAACAAAGCTAGTGGAAGTGATGGAATTCCAGTTGAGCTATTTCAAATCCTAAAAGATGATGCTATGAAAGTGCTACACTCAATATGTCAGCAAATTTGGAAAACTCAGTAGTGGCCACAGGACTGGAAAAGGTCAGTTTTCATTCCAATCCCGAAGAAAGACAATGCCAAAGAATGCTCAAACTACTGCACAATTGCACTCATCTCACATGCTAGTAAAGCAATGCTCAAAATTCTCCAAGCCAGGCATCAGCAATATGTGAACCGTGAACTTCCAGATGTTAAAACTGGTTTTAGAAAAGGCAGAGGAACCAGAGATCAAATTGCCAGCATCCACTGGATCATCGAAAAAGCAAGAGAGTTCCAAAAAAATATCTATTTCTGCTTTATTGACTATGCCAAAGAATTTGACTGTGTGGATCACTGTGAAAAACTGTGGAAAATTCTGGAAGAGATGGGAATACCAGACCACCTGACCTGCCTCTTGAGAAACCTATATGCAGGTAAGGAAGCAACAGTTAGAACTGGACATGAAACAACAGACTGGTTCCAAACAGGAAAAGGAGTACATCAAGGCTGAATATTGTCACCCTGCTTATTTAACTTATATGCAGAGTACATCATGCAAAACGCTAGGCTGGAGAAAACACAAGCTGGAATCAAGATTGCTGGGAGAAATAGAAATAACCTCAGATATGCAGATAACACCACCCTTACGGTAGAAAATGAAGAAGAACTAAAAAGTCTCTTGATGAAAGTGAAAGAGGAGAGTGAAAAAGTTGGCTTAAAGCTCAACATTCTGAAAACTAACATCATGGCATCCAGTCCCATCACTTCATGGCAAATAGATGGGGAAACAGTGGAAACAGTGGCTGACTTTTTTTTTTGGGGGGGGGGGGCTCCAATATCACTGCAGATGGTGACTGCAGCTATGAAATTAAAAGACACTTACTCCTTGGAAGGAAAGTTACGACCAACCTAGATAGCATATTAAAAAGCAGAGACATTACTTTGTCAACATAGGTTCATCTAGTCAAGGCTATGGTTTTTCCAGTAGTCATGTATGGATGTGAGAGTTGGACTATAAAGAAAGCTGAGTGCTGAAGAATTGATGCTTTTGAACTGTGGTGTTGGAGAAGACTCTTGAGAGTCCCTTGGACTGCAAGGAGATCCAACCAGTCCATCCTAAAGGAGATCAGTCCTGGGTGTTCATTGGAAGGACTGATGCTGAAGCTGAAACTCCAATACTTAGGCCACCTGATGTGAAGAGCTGACTCATTTGAAAAGTCCCTGATGCTGGGAGAGATTGAGGGCAGGAGGATAAGGGGATGACAGAGGATGAGATGGTTGGATGTCATCACTGACTCATTGGACATGGGTTTGAGTAGACTCTGGGAATTGGTAACGGATAGGGAGGCCTGGCATGCTATAGTCCATGGGGTCGCAAACAGTGGGACACAACTGATGACTGAACTGAGCTAATATAAAAGATTGGGTTCTCTTTGCTGACTTCTGGACTAATTGATAATTGACAAGCAAGCATTTGCAGGTGTGTTCTATAGGCACTGAGCTAATGTGTTCAAGGCATTAAGCTAATAAGAGAGGCTATCAGTATGTAAGTTGCTTCTAGACCAAATATTATTATATATATAAAATAAAAAGTTCTGTATCAGTCAGGTTTCTCCAAGAATCAGAACCAATGGAACAAAATAAGCAGAAACAGAACCAACACATACTCACACTCACACACACACAGATAAACAGTGGGTTACTTCAAGCATTTGGTTGATAGGATCACAAGGACTAGAAAGTTGGAAATCTGTCTGGCCAGCTCACAAGCTGGAAACGCTTGGGCAGGAACTGATGCTGCAGTCTTGTGACAGAATTTCTTCTTCCTCAGGGAAATTTCAGTTTCGGTCTTTCAACTGATTGGACCATCCCCACTCAGATTACTGAGAATTATCTTTGTTTAAAGTTAACTAATTGCCCATCTTAGCCTCATTTATAAACTGTCTTCACAGCAACATCTAACTTCATTTTTAATTGAATAATTGGGTATTATAGCTCAGCCAAGTTGACATGTAAAGTACCACAACTTCCTAAAACTATCTGTAAAATTTATAGTTCAGAAAACAGATGCATAAAAATCAGTATATCAATGGTTTCTAAATGAGAGTACCTTTACTGAGGATGTGTGTGAAAGAACTGAAGAATATATTCTTTTGTAGGAAATATACATGTGACAGTGGAGCCCTAAATGGATGTAATCCAGGGACGGGAGACCTGGGTTTGATCCCTGGGTTGAGAAGATACCCTGGAGAAGGGAAAGGCTACCCACTCCAGTATTCTGGCCTGGAGAATCCCATGGACTGTAGAGCCCAAGGGGTCTCAAAGAGCGGAGATGACTCGGACACGACTGAGCGACTTTCACTTTAATCTAATGATTTACAGAAACTGTGAAAACCTCTAAGCAGTAGCCGGAGACCATAAGAGATTGCTCTAACATTCTGCAACAGCATTATGAGGCATACATTATTTAGTATGACTAAGACATCTATGGTACCACTGTTCTGAAGTGAAAAATTTGTGACTCTATTCCCCGGAACGTGGTGCCAGGACTCCTCATTGCCCTGGTCATCCTCATCGACCCGGAAGCAGTTTCTGGCCTCGGCCTCCCAGTCCTCGCGATGGAAGAGCTCTGAACCCTGGTGGGTGCCGGGGCCTCGTGATCGCGCGGGATGTGGTGAGCTGGGTGGGCGCGTGCACGCCGCCTGGCTCCGCCCCTGCCTTGGTCCCCCAGGACCTGCTGGCGGGCAGGTCCTCTCATCCCTCTCTGGCCACATCACGGAGGTGTCCACGTAGGCGGGTGAGGCGTGGCGTTCGTGGAGCGGGAGATGGTGCTGGGAGGGATGGACATGATGCTCTGTGTGGGGTCCCACCATTCAGAGGGCTGCTCCACCCTCTGGGGGACACAGACTGGGGGCGGGGTGGAGGATGGAAATGCATGGTCCCGAGTCTCATGCATGTCGGGATGCCACATTGTGGTCAGGAGCAATAAAACCGGCAGGGAGTGAGAGGAAACGGTGGTCGATGGGGCCCGCGAGGCGCCTGGAAGTAGCCACCCTCGTAATAGGTGTTGGGAGTCCCGGAGATGGCCGCCTCCGGATTGTACAGGTCGCCTGCATCCACCAGGGTCACGCGGAAGCCCCCTACTGGCTCCGCCAGCAGCCCCTTGAGCTCCAGCAGCAGTGTCTTCTTCGAACTGGGCCCCGGCGTCCGGGTGGGCCGTGACCTGGGTGCGCGGGACCCGGTGCGTAAGGCTGCGGGTTGAGGGCTGGTTCTGGGCCCGGACTGGGCCGCCTGCCTCCTCTGTGCCGCCGACACTGCCACCAGGGACCCCCAGGCACCCCACCTGCCTTTATTATTTTTATAATTGTTTCTGTTTGTAATTCACTCATTCCTTAAGTAATTTTTGTATACTTCATTGTATTCATGTCCAGTGAAACTGACTCTAGTCTATTTAGTGTAAAGTGAGTGAAGTCGTTCAGTCGTGTCCGACTCTGCGATCCCATGGACGGTAACTTACTAGGCTCCTCGGTCCATGGGATTTTCCAGGCAAGAATACTGGAATGGGTTGCCATTTCGTTCTCCAGGGGGTCTTCCTGACCCAGGGATTGAACCCAGGTCTCCTGCATTGCATGTAGATGCTTTACCATCAGAGCCACCAGGGAAACCAGGATTTAGTGGACACCCATGAAAAATTATTGAGTAGAGAGAACTTGCTTTCTGTCTACCTGCATTCACTCTGCTCTCTTGGTTCCTCGTTTGTTCAGGTTCCTATGATGTTCCTTTTATTCCTAAGACTTACAGGTCACGTTCCCTAGAAACAAATCTTGATAATGGGATTCTTATGCCTGTGTTTATTGTGGGAGTACTCTCAGCAGAAAGTGAGGGAAGCAGGATACAGTGGGGGGAGAAAGAATTGGGTCTTGAGAGTGTTTCATCTGATCTCACAGTCAAGCTTTTAGGGAAAGGTACTATATAGATTTAAGCCAGCTAAAGGCAGATGGAGCAATCTATTGAAAGTCTTTGGCCAAGTTCTACCCCAGGGAGATGAGTTGGGCTGGCATGTGGCCTCCCACTCAAATTAGCTTCTTTTTGGCTGAGAGAAATTACCCAGAGAGGGGAGCAGGTGTGAGTTGATATTAGCCAACACTCACATCAGCTAGGAAACATACACTCCTCACCTTAAGTGGTATTCGGGAAGGGTACCATTAGCAACATTAGCAAACATTACAGTCTTGTCCCTGCACAACTCAGATCCACTTGCTGATTACATTATTTATTTATTTTTTTCTATCCCAGGACCAGGTGGCTTCACTGGTCGAGTCTATCCAACATTTAAAGAAAAACTAACAGCAATCCTTCTCAAACTCTTCCAAAATATTGAAGAAAAGGGACTGCTTTCAGATTCATTTCTTGAGGCCTGCAATATCCTGATAACAAAACCAGATAAGAACATTACCAGAAACAAAAAGCTATAGGCCAGTGTCCTTGATGGACACAGCTGCAAAAATTCTCAAGAAAATATTAGTAAACTGAATTCAACAATAAGTTAAAATGCATACATACACCATAATCAAGTGGGATTCATTTCTTGGATGCAAGGATGGTTTAACAACCTCTACATTAATAAAAGAAAAGATAAAAATCATATGATCATCTCAAAAGGTGCAGAAAAAGCATTTGACAAAATTCAGCAGGAATTTTGAATTCTTCCTACAGTAGATGAGAGCCTGTTTGTCTTCTATCAGGAAGGCCAGCTGGCTTTCATACTTGATTTTCAATTGCATATTAATGACTGTAAGCCTTTCATTTTCTTTTTTTTTGAAAATGTTACTTCACGCAATTCCTTATAATTACAATTTCCCACATACTTGTCAAATATCTGATAGAAGCCAGCTAGTGAATTCCCTAACTGAATTATACAATTCCAATTTACCACAGATGGAAATTTTATCAATTAGGCTGCCACCAGTATTAATCTGTTCTCCACCTACAATTAATGATGAAGCTCTTATTGCTATAGCCAGACTACAACTGATGATTGATGATGCTCTAAAGCCTCAGTCCTGCTTATCAGCAGTTATAGGTGGTGTACACTGGGAAGTGGACTCTGGGATGGAATTTACCATTTGTGGTATTGATTAGGAATTATCCTCAAAATCTATACCCCTGGAAGGCAGAGGAAGGAAGCACGATTGAGCAGAGAGAAAAGGCAAGCTGTGATGCAGGCCACTGTGCGTTTTGGTCAACGTGACAGAGAGCTCTGAAACTTAAGTGGACTCGCAGCATTGTCACATTGAGCTGAGAAAGCTGGGCATTCATGTGCTGGCCTGGATCTGTCATCGTGAATGGGCTTCCCTGGAAGTGTGTCCCTTTCACTGAGAAAACCCTTTATAGCTTAGGCATTTGTGCAGGGCACTGCAGCAGTTGGGTGAGACATTGACTACAGGTGTCAGTTCTGTGTAACATGAATTTATAGCCTCCTGGAGTTACCAGTAAGGTGCTGATATCATCCACTTGCCAAGTGTGTTCTCGGGGAATTCTTCCTAAAGCCCTTTGTCTTCATATCAAGTACAGTCCTTTGACCTATTGGTGATTTCAGCAGGGGCAATGGAATTACATCATCATTTGATCCGCCTTTGCTTTGCTTGGGTATCTCATGCCATTTTGTCTTATGAACACAGAAAAATGTGGATTTTATTGGGCAACTCCTATCAGTGAACGAACTCCTATCTTTTACCTTGCTTGGGAGAGAATCAGAATTCAGAGCACGGAATGATGGGGGTAGCTGGATCCTCAGTGGGCTCTACCGCTGGTAGTGAAGCAACCTGCTTACACATAGGTATTGAGGAACTCCCTCTGAACTTCAACCCTGTCCCTAGTTTTCAAATGTACCTTTTGCCCTTTATCAATGGGCTCTGTTTTCTCTGTCACTTAACCATTCCTCTGATCTTATCCAAATTATTATAGATCATTTTAATCTCAGGGTTATCTGATGCTCTCCTGTAGTGGGAGGAGTCTGGCAGTACTCAGCAGCAAGCTCGCCTTATTCGTTTGTAAAGGACATGAAAACATCTGCATCAGATTGCTCTCAAATCTGAAACTCCAGCAGTTTCCGGTGAAGAACAATATTCAGTTTCTATCATATGTCCCAAATGACATGTGATCTGTTTGCGAGCACTTTTAAAATCAGCTGGGCATTTGAGCATCTTATCCTTCAGTATGATTTGATGAGTAATGCCTGGAACCCAAGCATGTGTAAATCATTTTAACTTTTCCCTTCTCATGATCTCATCCAAAAGGGAATTCTTTGCTTAATCCCTGTTAGTCTGTCTGTCTCCATGTTGGTCCTGTGAACAGACTGTCATGTTAATCAGCTAGACAAGGCTGTTTAAAAAGGGGTTGGTGGGAATCAGTACTCTCATTTCAACCATTTTCATATTCAAATTAGTGTTCGCTTGCTGTGCTCCTAATATTTACTACCAAAATGGCGATTTTTGCTAAATATTTATTACCAAGAAGGGCTCAAGCAATACCACGCATGTCCAATTGAAACCTGGTAACAGATAGACATTGCTCTATGTTATTTGGTCCTGAAATAGGCAGATCTGAATTTATCCAAGCTGTAATATACAGGGAGAACTTGAAAATGCCTTTTTTGAGGAACAAGGGTCATGGTTAGCTTTGAAGATATGCTCTTTGCTCCCAAAAGTTGGCAGCATGTTATGAATTTTCTGGTGAGGATGCTATCAATTTCCCCCTTTGTCCATACACTCTTCAACAGCTTTCTAAAAATCCCACTCAATAAAGCAGGTTATTGTCCTTTGTATTCTCCTCCACCAACTTAGTACCACCTTTCTTTTGGATAGGTGAAGAACACAGATCTTCTTGGATAGAAGAACACAGATCTCATTATTTAACACCATGAATGATAACAGGTCTAGTAAATTAGGTTTGTCCCATGGTTAATTTCTTGACATACAAGAGCATTGTTAAGTAAGATGTTTGAGATCGAAGAACTTTCCCTCACAGCTTCTGTCATGGTTGGTTACTAGCATTAAATTGGCTATCTTTTTTTTGATCATTATACAGTCAGTCTAAGAGTGCACATTCCTATGCTTCGAGGGAGGGTTGTATTTTTTCATTAAAGAAAGAGTGAGGCTATAAGGGTTGGGTTGTGTTCTCAGGGTAAGTCTGCCAAACTCTCGTCATTACCCACTGCATCTATTTAGTTGTTTTGCCATCTTGATGAGACTGCTCACAAATGTTTGCAGACAATTGGGCATCTGTGGTCAACACAAATACTCCCTTCCATTCATCAGTATCTAGAATTAGTGACAGGACACCCTGTCATTTAAACTGAGGATCTCTGTAGCAGGGATCCCCAGCCTCTGCAGAACGTCTCTGTAAAGTGTCTCAGATTTTTAGCAAACGGACTACCCTCTGCATGTTCTGGACATCTAGCCATGGCCCTTGACTACTTCTGTAGTCTTTCTGGTGATCAGTGATCATAAACAAGTTACTTTGTGAGCCTACCAGGCTCCTCCATCCATGGAATTTTCCAGGCAAGAGTACTGGAGTGGGTTGCCATTTCCTTCTCCAGAGGATGATCTTCCCGACCCAGGGATCAAACTCGGGTCTCCCGCATTGCAGGCAGACTCTTTACTCTCTGAGCCACCAGGATCTCAAACAAGTGACTTTGTGAATAAATATAATGCCTGCTGAGGTAACGAACAAGAAAAGGCATTTCAGCAATTTAAAAAGAGGGTTTGATTCCTTTTAGTCCCAGTTTTCCAGTTGGCCCTTTAGAGATTTATGTTTCATAAATGATGCCTATAGAGACTTGGAGATCTGTTCAATCCACTTAATGAGACTTTCCCTCAGGAGAAATCTATTTCCTTTAAAGATATTTGGTAAGACTTGTCCCCAGAATCTTCTATAAGCCTTTTACCATGAGTGTGTGCTCAGTTGCTCAGTCATGTCTGACTCTTTGGGACCTCATGGACTGTAGCTTGCTCAGCTCCCCTGTCCATGGAATTTTCCAGGCAAGAATCTTGGAGTGGGTTGCCATTTCCTACCTCAGGGAATCTTCCCGATGTAGGGATTGAACCCACGTTTCCTGCATTGCAGGTAGATTCCCTACCACCCTGCCACCTGGGAAGCCAGGGCTTTTACCCCTTCTTACTAAAGATGTGTGGAAAGCGACCTAGGCCTCAATTTCTTCCCAAGTTTTCTCCCCTTTTTCTTTTCTTAAGAACAACCTTCTCATTATTTATTAGTTTGAAAGATAATCTTGCCACTGGTATCTGTGGCATGAAGTGTTGAACTGTCAAAGCAGACATATGAATGGGAAATCTTACCGAGTATCTAACTTTCCTAATATTTAACTATACAAGCAAGCCACAAGCTCCATTCGGAGAGTGTGTGTTACACACTCGTTGCTCCTTCCTTCTACCAGGTCATTGCTCTTTTTCACCTCAGTCTTCTGACCTTAGGCGGGCACTTTAGATCCAGGCCTAAAACAAAGTCTACCCCTCTTGTAGCTACCCTTTTATACTCCCTACTATGTCCAGATGATTCTAATTGTACTTCATAGAAATTGCCTGTTTTCCTAGTAAGTGGCACATATAAATTCCCTGGTTGAAGCAGCTTTTTCATTTAGCGAGCATTGCTATAGAAGCTTTGCATATATTTTCCTTCTTTCTTTGTTTTTTAGTATTCCTAATTCCTGAATCCTTGGACCTTGTTTGTCATGGCAGGGAATAGAATCACTCAATGCTTTTAAGCAGAAGGGAATTCAAGAAGGAAGGTGTTTACAAAATTGTTGCAGAGTGAGAAGTTAGAGGTCAAGAAATGCTACTGCCTCCTAGTGGTCAAGACAGTGCCCCGCTGCTACCAACTTCACAGATGCCTTCATCAGCATTTCTTTTCAATTCTGTGGCACATCTGCTGCATACTGCTTACTGCCGGCTCCACTAAATAATGAAGAATGACCCTCATCTCGTTCATTTCTAAACTCAAATGAGTACCTGTCAAGATTATGGTGGAAGACAATCTCATTCAGAAAACTAGTTGCAAGGGCATCTGGGAAGTGTAGTTTTTGACCATACAACCCCTATGATGCAGGGGGTAAGGGTATTAAACAGGAAGAGAGTGAAACATTCCACAGATGTCTTAGATGACAGTACCTAACACAGATTTATTCCTTGCAGTTCCCCAGTCTCAGAAGCTATTTCAGCATCCTTAGTCCACGCAGACCTGATACATTCTTTCTGCATTTTCCTAGTGTGTCTTTTCAGTAATTCACCAAAAGTATCTTCTTAAGATTCACAGTATCTTAAGAAGTGGCAGCCAACTATTTATATTTTAAAGTTTATGATAGCAGATTAGTATTTTCATTGCTGGTAAAGCCTTTGCATTGTTACTGAGTCTTTATGGAATCTTTAGCTTCAACAGTGACTGTACTGAGAATATCAGGTCCCCTGGCCAGTTGACATGGGAAATGTGCATATTAGTAAGATTTAGGAGCTTCTCCCCTTAGAGCACCCATAAAACCTGCCCTGTTTGCTCTGTCCCTAGAACTGGCCCTAACAGATTAACGTATAATACAAATTAACTGATTTTGTGGTCACAAAATTATGAGCAGTGCTTTTCTATCCTGAAAATAATGATGTACAAAATAAAAGGAAATTAATTTATTCCTTTAATATTTCTGGAAAAGGAGAGTGGATTATTTATAAAAATGATAATAAAACAATCCATTTCCAAAGTGAAAAAAATGTTTAAAATACTTTGCAGTCAGTTTCCAAAAACCTTTTGTCCTGGCCCCTTCTATGTTCTAGTTAGGAGGAACAATCTCAGAACTGCGTCCCTTCCAAACTCCAAACCAATAATTGAGAAAACAGTTTAAAGTTCCATTTTTGGAACTTGCTATTAATATGCTAAGTTTGAACTATAACATGGAATAAAAATTCTTTGAAAATGTCACCAGTATTGTATATCTCACAATAATTATGTTCTCGATTTCTGTTATTTCCTCCCTTGCCCATTCTTTTATCCTTCTTCATCTGATTCTCCTTCTCTCACTTCTTCACTGTAAAGATTTAATATGTTTGTTATTTCTTTCTTCAACTGATATTTTACTGTTTAAAGGAGACTTTTCATTGCTCAAGTAGTCTTTTCCCCTCCTGTATATTAAACACTGCTACAAAGCTGATTTTTTAAAAATAAGAACAAAACTTTTACTTTAATTGTACAGAACACCATGATAAGGATGTTATTTAAAGCAAAATATTCAAGATATTGTGGCCAGACCAAAAGAAAAATACAGTTTTTTGGTTTTTGTTTTTTTTTTTCTTTTGGGGAATGAGAATTTGATTCTACTAATGGAACTGATTTTTTACCAAGATACATTATGCACTCTTTTAAAATGAATTCTTGCTAATTAATGTCAGTGTAAACCACAGAGGATATAAAGTGAAAAGTTTTAATCAACCACTGAAATTAAAAAGTTCCAGATTTGTACAGAAAGTTTCAGGAAGATGAATACCTGTTTGCTTTATTAAATATCCAAAATGTGAGTAATATCTAAATGCAAATTTAAATAGCCATTACAAACTAGTTAAAAACTGTGCTACTTACCAAACTATAAGCTGCATAATGAAATGACTAGGATACTGCATTGTTTTGATAATTTCTGCTGGAAAAATAAGTCCTCATTTCAATAATAATTTGTTAAAATGTTCAAGGATATTTTCATTTTGTTAGATGATAAGTTCTAAGTTATTTGTGTAAGACATGGGCCACCGTGGCATGTTTATAAACAGAGTATAAAAGACACAAAAAGACAGAGTTCAAAAAAAAAAAAAGAGTTCAATGTTACATGTTTTAAATGCAACCCCTTCCTTTTCATGCCCATGCCAACTTCTGTGTGACACAAATTGGCTTTCTGTTGTTCTTACTGTGTTAAATGAAAAGCTGATGCTAGCACTAGCAGTATTAAATACAATGTTCATTATAAATGTAACTTATCATCAGGAAAGATTTGGATAAAGATTCAATATTTACTTAGTCCTACTTTGTGTCAAGCTCTGCATTCATCTCTTTTACATGCATTATTTCATTTATTTCTTTCAACAATCTGAGTGTGTATTAGAAGGAGGGAATAGATATAGTTCATTCCAAAATAATTTTATGGCATTAGGATTCCAGTTAAAAAATCAGATATCACATAAGTAATAATTGTTATCACACCAGAAATTGTCTCATCTAGCAAGAAGCCACATATTCTGGCTGGGGAGGTGCTGTGAGATCCCTTTCATCAGGAAAATACTATGGGAACCATCAAGGTACAGCTGTGTTTGCTGCCTGGGCACTTAGGATTCTTTGCCCCCTGGGATTCAGCAGGCAAGAAGAGGGGTCACCCATAGGGGAAACACAGTGATCGCAGGAGGAGGAAGGGCTGATCTTACAAATGGGAGTCAACCCCGTTCTCACTGCGAATGAACAATCATAGCTGCCCCGGGTGGAGAGGGTAATTGTCAAGGACTTACGGCCTTCAGGAATGGAGGTTTAGGTCATTTCATCACGCATATGTCACCATTAGCTGGCAAGGTGATAGCCCGGGATGAGAGGAACCTGAAGCAAATACTGGAGAAAGGAGAGGATGAGGCACAGTGGTGGCCTCCAGATCCACTGCAGAGGTTGGGGCCATGCACTCTTCACTATGAAGCTCCCTGTTCAAAATCCAAATGATTGATATTATTTAAAATCTCACTGAGGAAGAGAGCCCCAGGGGGCATCACACAGAAGATTTTCTTGCGTCTGGAGTAGCGCAGGGTGGGCTGTGGAGGCCGTGAGAGCGCGCAGTGGGCTGGACCGCGAGGAGCGTAGACGGAGAGTCCAGCTGCCGGGTCTGACACCGTTGCCCCGCATGGCCCCATTGTCATGGCGGCCACACTCCCCTGTGAGCGAGTGAGGCACGGACTCAAAGGCAGGCCTGTTCCTTGGAGAAGCAGGACTCCTGGGTTAGCAGCTTTTGGCTCCCCACCAACCTTGTAGAACTGAACTTTCTTCTGAGCTTCCGTCTCAAATGTTTTTTCCCGATTGCTTCCTTCCTGTCCTTTCTCCTTCACTCAGGACAGAGATTTGAATTCTGAGCTCACAACCCTCGCAGCCTCCCTTAGGAGCCTCCCCACTGCCTCACAGCTTGCTTCTCACGAGGCCGGACAGAGACACTTACTTGGTGAAAACTGCCCACTTTTTCACCGGCAGCTTTTGCTCATGCTGCGTAACGAGCTGACAGCCCAGCGACTTTTTCTTATGTAAGCCTGACAAGCTTCGTATCTCCCAGAAATTAATCAGCATTTCAGGCCCGTTGAAGAGACCTTTCTAGTTTTTGCTGCTCCTGCAGATAAGTGTCTTAAATTCTGGCTCATTTCTTTGTTCAGTTCAGTGTGATGTTGAGAGGAGGAAACAGGTAACAGCATTTGGGGAGGAAAGAGGTGATAGCATGTTGAAACTGAATACCACTCTTAAATCTTTACCATTAGTTCCAACAATAAGCTAAGCTATGCTCTATTTTGTTTATCTTGCTGACTTACCATAACCATTTTTTACAGTGCTTGTTAATTTTTTTGTTCCTGTTAACAAAAATATGTTTATTAATATCAGTACTATTCTCCCCTCAATTTGAACCCTTTCACTTTCTGATTATCAGTTATATCAGTCATTAATTTAACCACATTTACTAAAAGTCAACCTCATGTTAGGCAAGAAAGGAGGAAGAAGAAATGAGTATTAGGTGGGTTTTAATCCCAAACATTCTAGAACTTTTTATAGCTTGCAAAGACTTAAGGAAGGTAATTCTTTTTATAGCTAGAAAAAACTTAAACTTTCTCAGCATGACTCTGGTTTCCACCTCTGTTTATTTTCTGTGTTTCCCAGGTTATGTGGCCCTTCAGAGAAGGACATGCAGTCACACAAGAAATATAGAAAGCTAAGGGTTTTGTATATTATTGGATGAAAAATGAAGGACAGTCTGTGTAACTGCTCCACAGAGCTTGCTAAAGTAAGCATATTTCCCAATCAGAACTTTTTTTTTGTAATCATGGAAAACTGCTTATTGTGAGCACTTATTACCCAATTGAAATGATTTTTTTAAAGGATAGAGTGTGATTTTGAGTTTTATCCAACTGGAAGCTTATCATGAAGCATGATTGCCTATCTTAATGCATTATATACAATCAGAAAATATATGTTAATTAGGTAAATTTTGTTCAAGTACATTTATGAGATGCTTGGTTCAGAACACCTTGCATTCAAAATTGAGAAAGACATGCTCTTGGAGACAAGGTCTAAGGGAAAAAGAATAAAAAGGTAATACTTGTCCATCAGTGTTCTCGTTAACCTGTGGACTTCTGTCTTTGCTTTTTGATCAACTTTTATTGGCTTCAAACCCAGATTATATCTTGGAATCCGATTTTCACATCCATGTTATTAGATACGATAGTTCTTCTTTGCCAAATTGGTACCTGACTTTAGTCTATTTGTTATATTTTATTGAAATTTGTCTTACTTTAGCTCCCAATCTTGACCTAACTGGTCCTCTTCTTCAAAATAAATTCCTAAAATGTGTAACATAAGTAACAGTCTACCACTGAGATTCTGCAGTCTCTCTTCTACTATACTGGATTTACCACATGCATATCTCTCTACCCATGCTACAGCTCATCTTATTTTGGGATGCATTTCAAAGTTAGTTGCAGACATGACACTTCAGCTTGCATATCAAACTGGAGTTCAATAATTATTGTTCTAGTTAATTCTTTAGAGGTAAAATTTATATACAAAGAAATGCTTAGATCATGATTGTTTCATTCCAGGAAAATTTTGACAAATGCTTTGACCTCTGTAACCCAAATCCCTGTGGACATATTTCTTTCTTAAACTTCTAGTAACTACAACTCATAGCTCGCAGACACATTGACATATGACTGAGTTTAGCTGGGGCAAGAAAACACCTCTTTGGGATATAAACTTGGTTTAAAACCAGGGTCACTTTATGGTATCTTGATGGCTGGCTCTTAACTATTAATATATATGACTATGTGTTATTGTCATTTGCCCTTCAACATGGCAGTCAACCCTTCTTACTCCAGACTCTGAACTCAATATTGACAGAAAAAAATCTCATTCATCTCAAATTCCAAACATTTAAGAAAAGTAAATATTTTACACTTAATAATAATAGAAGTTGCATATTGATCCACACAAAAAATTTGTCCAAACTGATAATGTATACAAGTATTGTCTCCCTTCCAAATAATTTCAGTTCCTAAGATCAGATAGCAAGAGTTTTTAGGTCACAGGTGTATGGCATGTATATATTTAAAATTTTCAAAATCTACCATATATGTGTATATATATATATATATTTTTCAAATTTTCTGCTGGGGGTATGTATGTATTTGTGTGTATATATATATATATATTTTAATTTTCAAAATCTGCTGTGTGCTCCTTTGTTCCTCAATACATATTCTACCTGTTAAATACTTAAGAGAGCCTAGGTTGCTCAGCGGGCTTATGGAAACAGATGTCCACAGAGCCTTTTTGCAGCCTGATTCTGAGCTACTGGATTCTGTTTAGCTGCCTATAACAGTCTGTCCAGGTGGCGCTAGTGGTAAAGAATCCACCTGCTAAAGCATGAAACACAAGAGACTTGGGTTCAATCCCTGGGTCAGGAAGATACCCTGGGAGAGGAAATGGAAATCCACTCCAGTGTTCTTGCCTGGAAAATCCCATGGACAGAGGAGCTTGGCAAGCTGTAGTCCATGGGGTTGCAAAGAGTTGGACATGACTGAGTGTCTGAACACCTCTGAACACAGCACAGCAGTCTGTAATGGGGTCTTTCCTTCTACCTGCTATGATATCTGACACTTACATGATCACTAATCCATCATTTAAATTCCTGTCCTCCTGCAGATTCCAACTTTTAAGAGGAGCATGTATTATGGTAGTGATTGATTTTACATACCCTGATATTCCAGATAACTTCTTTTATAATGCTTCTTTTATCTTGAGGTTTTAATAGTTACCCGCCAAGGGCATTTTTCAGTGCTCTTAGGTTGTCAGGATTGAAGTGAACTATAATAGATTCCTTTATCCATTCAATCATTCAAATATTTATTGAGCATCTATCATATGTCATACCCTGAACTAAGATCTGGGACAGAATATTAAATACAATTTGGCTGCTAGTTAATGACATAATACAAGAAAAGAAAAATATTCAAGAAATAACTACATTATGTGATCAGTGCAAAAATGAAGATCTGTATTAAGGAAGAGTGGGAATTAATTTCCTTTACTTGGATAGCAGTGGAAAATGGTAGAAAAGGCATATAAACTCTGTCTTTGATGATGAGAAGGATGAGAAGTGTGTACTGCTGGGAATTGTGGGTATGACAATAAAGGGCATTCTAAGAAGTTAAGCACAAAAGCATGCTATGAAACTATAGGGTGGATTAGTGGAATCTTAAATAATTCAGATGTTTAATTCAGGCTACTGCATTTGTGGGAGATGAGGTTGAACAATTAATATTACATGTTTTAACTCTTTGCAACAGCTCTGTGAGGTGGGTATCATAACTTCATCATTTTCCCTATTTTGTAGATGTAAGAATGCAGGCAGAGAAAGGCTAAGTAAGTTGATCAAGGTCATATAGTTAATAAATTATAGAGCCAGCTTCAAAACCAGGCAGAAAAAAGTTTTCCTGATTTTATTTTCAAATTTAGGTTTTTTTGAGGTAAAATACACATATTATAAAATTCAACTTTTAATGTTGACAGTAGTTTTGACAGGTGCACTTGATATTCATCCAAATGAAGGCATATATCAGGAGTTCCTTGTTTTCTATTGCTCAGTAGCTTCCATTAGGTGAATTCCATAGTCAGTTTATCCATCCAGTGGTTGGTAGACATTTTTCTTGTTGTTTTAGATGATTATGAAGAATAATATGTTAAAGTTTCTGCCACACATTTCCAACATCTGGGTCATTTTAAGTCTGGTCCTTTTGCTTGTTATGTCTCTTGACAATGTTTCAAGACCCAGATAATCATGATGGTGTGATCATTCACCTAAAGCCAGACATCCTGGAATGTGAAGTCAAGTGGGCCTTAGGAAGCATCACTACGAACAAAGCTAGTGGAGGTGATGGAATTCCATTTGAGCAATTTCAAATCCTAAAAGATAATGCTGTGAAAGTGCCGCACTCAATATGCCAGCAAATTTGGAAAACTCAACAGTGGCCACAAGACTGGAAAATGTGTTTTCACTCCAATCCCAAAGAAAGGCAATCCCAAAGAATGCTCAAACTACCACACAATTGCTCTCATCTCACACCCTAGCAAAGTAATGCTCAAAATTCTCCAAGCCAGGCTGCAACAGTAGTGAACTGTGAACTTCCAGATGTTCAAGCTGGATTTAGAAAAAGCAGAGGAACCAGAGATCAAATTGCCAACATCCACTGAATCATTGAAAAAGCGAGAGAGTTCTAGAAAAACATCTGCTTAATTGGCTATGCCAAAGCCTTTGTGTGAATCACAACAAACTGTGGAAAATTCTTAAAGAAATGGGAATAACAGACCAACTGACCTGCCTCCTGAGAAATCTGTATGCAGGTAAGGAAGCAACAGTTAGAATTGGACATGGAATAACAGACTGGTTCCAAATCAGGAAAGGAGTACATCAAGGCTGTATATTGTCACCCTGCTTATTTAAGTTATACACAGAGTATGTCATGTGAAATGCCGTGCTGGATGAAGTACAAGCTGGAATCAAGATTTCTGGGAGAAATATAAATAATCTCAGATATGCAGATGATACCACCCTTATGGCAGAAAGTGAAGAAGAACTAAAGAGCCTCTTGATGGAGGAGAGTGAAAA